GCCGTTAGATCTCTTCAATGTGGCTTCTTTCGGGTGCAGCATCTCCTGTAACGGGGAGGCGAGTGTGGTGGAGACACGGAAGGGCTTTTTCTGGAACGCTTCCTCGCACTTTTGGAGCGTGTGCCTCGACAGACCCTCAGGGAAGGTTGAGCCTTGTGAGATTTTTAACTCTATTCCGTTTGTGTTTGTTAAGGTGTGGGCTTGGTTTCTCTGAGGGGCGCACTCTTGTCGTGCCGCTCATTTTTATGCTGACTGCTCCGTATTTTTTTAGTTTTTAGTTTGGGACTTATGGAGTGGATGCGCGGAGGGAGGGAGCCCAACGGAGGAAAGTGAGTCTTGGTTGACGGCACGAGTTCCCTCATGAATTGAACTTGTGTTTGTAATGGTATTACGTTGGAGTGCAAGACGTATAGCTTTGTTTTTGTTGTTGCTTTTTTTAAAAACCTGCTTCTGCTATTGCTCTCCACGCGGAGATGGTTCTGGTGGTTACGGGAGGTTCTAAAGTCTGTCACTTTGTAGGTTGACAATGGGATCTATCCCTTCGTAGTTTCTGTTTTATATATATATATATATTGCTTGTATGAATGTGGGAGTGTGTGGAACTGCTCCCCAGTCCTGACTGGGGAATGCTGTGTACACTAAACCAAACCAACATTTGATCTTGTTTTGTCCTATCCCTGCTGTAGAATACGATACGGGGCCTTATTGGAGGGGGGATATATATTTTTTATTGCTTTGAATGAGGCATGTTTCTTGGAGCCCGATGTATTTTTGTGGACTCCTGCACTGTGTCTCAAGAATGCTTTTACTGCTTTGTGTGGATCTTTTTATCCCTTTGATTTCCGCTACTGCTAGTTGGCGTCGCTGGATTTGCGTGTAGTATGCGGCCTGTGGTGCCACGAATGTTGGGCGTTCGTGCCCGTACATTGCGGTATGTGTTCAGATGCGGCGGTGCGCTGTTGTGTGTGCGTCGTGGTTGCTGCCAAAATCCGGGGGGTGGGGGGCCAACCTCGTCTGTCGTGCCACCCTCCACCGTGGAGCTGCAGGATGCTCTAGACATGGATGGGGAGATTACTCTCAATGTGTATCGTCCTTACGGCGAACAAGACACACCTCACCGGGACGCCACGAGAAGGTTCCTATACACAATTATTACAACAACTGACGAACAAGAGTGGAAGGACATGCTGGCCGCGGCTATTCGCCTCAACACATGGCGTGAACACCACCTACGAGCAGTGTTGCGCAGCGTGCATCAGACACAGTATGATATTGGTGGGGCACAGGGGGGTCGTGAGGCTGCACAAGCTGGTGGATGCACACCAGCCACACGTTTTCAACGTGCATTGGGTGTTATGCAAACCGCTGTGGATGAGGGCTACGCGCCTGCCCCAGAGTCCGTGCACGCGCTTCTTGTTGTTATTTTGCGCGCCGCTTTGCCAGGAGCTGAGAGTAGCGTAGCGGAGACGACGTTCAAGGAGCCGCAGCAGCACCTCCTTTTGGTCCCTCGTGCAGCTGTCTGGCAGTTCCTTGCCTGGATGGAGCGACATAACTATCACGTGATGTCAACTGCAGTGTTGGAGGACCTGGAGCGTGTGATTGAGGATGATACTCAGGAAGGCATGAACGGGGGGCGGACCGGCGGGGTGCGACAAAACCGTTTGGAGTACCTGCAACGTGAACGTGATGGACTACTTGGCGGCCATAAATCTTCGTCAAAGCGGGGCGGCAACAGACGCGAAGTACGTCCTGTGACGGTACCGGATGATGGTTGCAAGTAACGAATTTGCACCATGTGATACACTTATGTGTCTGCCGTACGCGCCACCCTACAGGCTCCTATCAGTGTCGATAGGATGTTTACTCGGCTCTGAGCTTCTATTTCTTGAGTGTTTTTGCTGTTTTGCAGGTGTGTTGCGTGCTGTGTCTCTTCCTTCGCCTGCTTGAAAAGAGGAAGAGGAGCACCACAAGGGAACTGCTAATGGGTTTTAGCCATCATAACCGAAAGCTATTCGTGTCGGTGGCAGGTGAGGGATGACATCAAGGTTGATTTCTCACACTACATCTCCACGCAAGATGCACCACTCTTGAAGCTCACGCGTGTTTAGCTCAATTCTCTGCGTATAGGCCAATTTGTGCATATTCTAACGGTACTTCGACTTCGGACCTTTTGAATTCACGTGCCAATACTCCCCATACTAACTGCGATTCTTCTAATGCAGCCGTAGTTAATTCTCATGTGCGTAGAGGAGAGGTTCCTATCTTCATGC